CCAGATGTTTTGCGTATGTTCCTCCGTCTGGGTTTGCCTGTTTCCTCATAGCCAACTGGAGGGTCTACATTTTGGGCAAGGATATCGAAGAGATGCGCCTGCTTCGTTTAGTCAGAGCAGGAGGTACTTGATCTCAGTAAGTCTTTGGTAGTTTTTGGAGTAGACGCTTAAGCCGGAAGTGCTAATAGAATAAATCCTTCTATTTCTGTATAATCGTGGTCCACGGGTTTAAACTTCAGAGACTCTGTCTTGGCCTTTGATCGTGTACAACATGATGGACACACATATGTGTGAAGTACGGATCAAAGTGGGTCATTTTGCTCCACAGAAACACAACGCACGTTAATCATTCAAGCATTCGGGGCTGAGCCCTGCCATGTTGTCACTGCGTCTTCTATCATGTCTTCTCCACACTTTCCGCCCTTACGCACCTCCCGGAAGCCACACTGTCCCCCAGGCTGAGACATGCAGGGAGGAAGGAGGATGTTATTAAAGGAAAAGAAGAAGTTTCAAGAGGTGAAACCAGCCTGGGTTATAGGACCTCTTGGCAGCTAGTATCAGAGTTTAGATTTCACGCTGGAATAAACAAGCAACCCAACCAAGAGAAGCATCTGTCATGGAAGGCACGTGACTTCGTCAGAGGCATCTTGGCACACAGCGAGGTTGCCCTGGATGCCCTGGTTTATGAGGAGTTCTCGAGATGGTTATAATGCCAAAGAGTTTGCAACATGAATCCCACAGTGCCTGTGGCTAGTCCCACGTCCACTCAGTTGGTATATAAGGCCCCGTGCTGGTCAGAAACTTACAACTCTGGGAACCGACTCTGTTCTCCTCCTCAGTCTTCTCCTCACACCATGAGCTTCTACAGCAACTACTACGGGGGCCTGGGCTGTGGCTACGGTCGCCTGGGCTGTGGCTATGGTGGCCTGGGCTGTGGCTATGGTGGCCTGGGCTATGGCTACGGTGGCCTGGGCTGTGGCTATGGATGTGGCTATGGTCAGAAACTTACAACTCTGGGAACCGACTCTGTTCTTCTCCTCAGTCTTCTCCTCACACCATGAGCTTCTACAACAACTACTACGGGGGCCTGGGCTATGGCTACGGTGGCCTGGGCTGTGGCTATGGTGGCCTGGGCTATGGCTACGGTGGCCTGGGCTATGGCTATGGTGGCCTGGGCTGTGGCTATGGATGTGGCTACGGATATGCCCGTTACCGTCCATGCTTCTATGGAAGATACTGGTCTTCTGGATTCTTCTAAGAAATTTTAGATTGCTCATCTGCTCAAGACATTCTCTCACGAAGGACTATTCAAGCAACAACAAGCGAATCTTGCTTGCCATGGAACATCAGAACCTTTTTGATTGAAATTACATGCCTTTCCAATAACATAAAAATATTCATTTGACCTTGTGATACTATGGTCTGATTGAATACAACCAATCATGAGCATTTCCTTTGGAAAAACGTGCTCATTCATTGTTCATTAAAGGCTATCTGTTTTGCACACTTACAACACTTTCATGTGCACTTATTTGCATAGTGTGTGTGTGTGTGTGTGTGTGTGTGTGAGATGGCTGAGCCTTTGGCTAGCTGATGACTTAGGTGTGTGGTTGAAGAGTTATGTTCAACCAGGGCTTTTGAGATCTAAGGGCTACTCTTTCCTGCGCTGATTTAATCAAAGCCTCATCTGTGGTGTGTCCAAAGTTGGGCTAAAGACATTGGCAAAGAGGTATCCCGCCCCCCATCACTTCCTTCTTCCTTTAATATTTCACTCTTCCTGGTACTAAGTATTTAAACGTGCCTCTGGTCAGCGGTGAATTTTCCTTCTAAATTTCGTATTATTGCTATTTCTTTCCACCCGTTGAAAACACGTTCTTGAACTCCTCTTGTGCACTGCAGCCGCACAGATGGCCTAGCTCTCTGGCATTCACACATCGTCACAGGAAGATGTAGGACTGGGAGTCTGTTACAGCGAGACCTCCAACGGGTCCGTGTCTGCCTGCCTTTTGGAAAGAGACCCGCTCTCCTGCATAACCAGGTAGTGGCCTGGGGAGACTGCAATCCTGCCAACACGAGTCGGCTCCAAATAAAGGCTGCCCGCGTGTCCCTGGTCCTGGTAGCCTAGGCGACGTTCAGGAAGCTGCCTATGTACATCCTCTTAGTGCACGCCACCTAGTAAGTATTGACAATGACATCAACAGTGACAACGTGTATGTCAATCATATCGGTTCATACTTTGGTAACAATGTCAGAATTTGGGGTGTGTGAGACTGACGCTGGGTTCATGCACGGCTTTCTGAATGGAGATGGAAGTACGAGGCTGGCCAGACTCTAACCTGCACCCAGGACATGTGTTCTGGCCGCATCTAGAGGAGAAGATTTAGAGCTGCGTCTCCCTCCATCAGCTGAAGACAGACCACAGGGGCAGAAGATTTAGAGCTGCGTCTCCCTCCATCAGCTGAAGAAGGGAGCCATCAGAACTCTTTCTCAGGGAAACTAGAGGTTTCATTCTGTGAGACTCATGCTCCACCGGGGGTGTAGGACAGCAGAGCTGTAAACGCTCAGAAATTAGGAAAGAAGAAGGCAACGTGTGCACAGAGGAGCAGGAGAGGGAGACAGGTAGCTCTCGTGGATACATGTCCACGTCTCCACTGACAGTAGAGGGGAAACCTTCTTTGAAGCTTCCACAGAAAATGCACAAAGAGTGATCCTATATTAAGTCACAAAGAAAAAAATTGGTCAATTTTCAAAGTCGAAACACTGCACAAACCCTGTTTGATTGCTGAGCAACAAAGCCAGAAATCGCCAACAAAAACAGAGTGGAAGAGCCCCTTGGCCTGAGAAGTAAATCTTTGATTAAACAACTCTCAGGTGAGAAAGGAAATACCAGAGTATAGAATTTCAAAATAAATAATAGAAACAAAATAGTACTTACCAGAGTCTCTGAAAAAATGTCAGTAATTAGGAAAAAATTCCGAGTACTAAACACTTTTGTCGGTGAGAATGAAAGAAATAACATAAATAATTTACTAATAACTCGATAAAGAACAACTAAATTAACCAGAGACAGTGCAAGGAAGAAGATAACAGACAGGCAGGAATTAATGAAGCAGAGGCCAGAAAAAAATAGATTTCAAAAATGACTCAAATGCGCCCTAACCGGTTTGGCTCAGTGGATAGAGCGCCCGCCTGTGGACTGAAGGGTCCCAGGTTCGATTCTGGTCAAGGGCATGTACCTTGGTTACCGGCACATCCCCAGTAGGGGGTGTGCAGGAGGCAGCTGGTCGGTGTTTCTCTCTCATCGATGTTTCTAACTCTCTATCCCTCTCCCTTCCTCTCTGTGAAACAATCAATAAAATATATTTTAAAAAAATGACTCAAATGCTATTATTTGAAAAGAGTGATATTTTTAGATCATTTGCTATTTTGATAAGAAACAAAGGAAAAGAGCACATACAAAATAAGAAATAGGAGAGAAATAAACATGGAAACAAGCAGTTTAAAGTTACATGCATCTACTTTGCGGGTCGTTATGGATATAAATCTGAAAACCTGTACGCAACACATAACTTCCTGGGGGAATGCAGATGGCCCAAAGGGACA